GATTTTAGCTCTGCAACCCCACCAAAAAAATTCCCCCAAAAGGACTGAAGCAGGGTGCAGAATGATCAGAGACTCAGGTTTCTTCATCTAGCCGGTCTGCTGGGTGGGGGTGGCTCTCCATCTTGATCCCCAACTTAAGATTTCTCTCCTCTCCATGTGTCTTCCTTACCATTTTCTCCTCTCTTGCCCTCACATCCTTTGGATTTTGCTTCACAAGCATGCCTTTGAAGATCCACATCTTCTCTGTCCCATCACCACCACAACTCCAGGCTAGGGCCACCACTTCTTTTCTTTTAATGACTTAAAACCAACCATGCCCCTCCTCATTGCCCACAGCACAGAGATGAGGACCACGGCTGGGCCCACAGGCTCTGGCATGCAGTGGTGCTGCCTAGGCCTCCAGAGTTTCCTTCCTAAGCCCCGCTCTCCTCTCAATTGCTCTTCTGGGTGCAAGCCTTTGCAGAGCTGTACCCTCTGCTTGCCTGGGGTTCCTCTACCACCCCTGCACCTGATCTCTGCATCCACCAATGCTCACAGGTCACTTCTTCAGGTGGCCCTCTGGACCTCAGTCCTCTGTTCCTGTTGTGGTAGGCTGTGAGCATGCCCCACCTGGGGTACTCACTGGCCCACTGTGGAGGGAGGCAGCCAGGTGGCAGTGTTTCTCCTACCTCTGACTTTGCATGTAGCATTGGCTTAACAGATACTGAAGAAATGAGTGAATGAATGAGTGGTGAAGGAATGAATGTCTGAAGGCCAGCTGGGCTCTTCTGTTCAGCCCCCACCCTCCTGTCAACTCCAGGGCTCCCTAGAAGCTTCTTGCCCTCAGCCTGGCAGTGACTGTGTGTGTGTGTGGGGGGGGAGGGCACTTGCGGGAGCAGGAAGGGTGCTGCAGGCCAAGTCTCCCTTCTCAGGTGGCATCCCGTCCTACCCCACCCTTCCAGGCCACACAGTGACCGCTCCCTGCCCTCTGCTGCCTGCCAGGAACAGCTTGTCCTATGAACCATTGCTCTAGATTTTATTTTTGTGGTTTTCTCTCAGCCCGCTGAGCTTGCCCTGTCTTCCTGTAGAGTGGCAGGAAAATCCCAGAGCTGGAGAAACCTAGAGCCTTTCACAGACCTTGTGACTGTGACTGGGGCCATCCTAGTGTCCTCAGCCAGTTTCCACCGGGTGCTCTCCTGCATGTCCCAGCCAGCTAAGAGGCACATGCATGCTGGATCTTGTCACATCAAAATCATGCTGTGATCTGGGCAGTGTTTTGAAAAGACAGTAAGACATTTCAGTATGCGAGGCTAAGAACAGGGGTCACTGGGTGTGTGACATATGGAAACTCTTCTGTGATCCTCACAATTTTTCTGTAAAACCTAAAAACTGTTTTCTTTTCCTTTTTTAAAATAAAAAAATATTTTGGGGGGCAGTTCTGGGGTTTGAACTCAGGGCCTCATGCTTGCTAGGCAGATATTCTACTGCTTAAGCCACTCCACCAGTCCTAATTTTTCTTTTTTTTAAGTTTTAGCCAGGTGTGGGGTGTGTATGCCTGTCATCTTAGCATTCAGGAGGCTGAGGCATGAGGATGGAGAGTTCAAGGCCAAAACAGTGAGACCCTGTCTCGAAAATAACAATAAAAGACTGGAGGTGTGACTTGGCTCAAGCAGTAGAGTGCCTGCTTTCCAAATGTGAAGCCAAGTTCAAACCCCAGTCCACCAAAAAGAAAAGAAACAAAACAAAACAAAAACCCAAATAATATGGTATGATATGATGTAATATAATGCAACATAATATAATAATAAAGTGAGAGAACCAGATACAAAATGTCTCATAGTATGTGACTCTATTGTTAGGAAACATCCAGAGCAGGTGAACCCACAGAGACAAGAAGTGGAGTGGTGGGTGCCAGGGGATGGGGTGATGAATGTTCTGGAATTAGAGACGGTGGTTGCATAACCTTTTGAATGTACTAAAAGTCACTGAAGAGTACACTTTAAATGGGCGAGGTATGGCATGTGAATTTTATCTCAAAAAACTGTTGTGTAAAAAAATCAAATCCCCACCGTCCTTGGGAGTACATTCCCCACGTTGTCTGCACGTCCCCAACACCATGCTAATTTCTGCCCGACGGTTTGCGGGAGTTTTCTTTCTTCTGCCTCTCGCGCAGCTGCTGGGCCTCTCCCCCCACTCTCGCCCCCACCTCAAACAAAGCCGCACCTCCGAGGACCACGCTCCTCCTGCGAGGAGCCACGCCCTTCCAGGAACCAAACTCCAACCCTTCGGGCAACAAGCCCTCGCCCTTTCGGACCCTGCAGTGGTAACGTGGTCTGCTTTGTTCTTGCTGATCTTCTCCTGCACCATTCTACCTGCTTGTGACCTTGCCTGGCTCCTCAGATCCCCTCAGGGTAGTTTAGCGCAGGAGGCGCGCAGCGGCGCGGATGCAACTGGGATTCCAGTCACCGGCTGCCGACCTTCATCACTGGGCAGTCTCTCTGCCCTTCCTCTCCTGCCCTCAGGATGTGAAGCCTGCCCTCGGCATAGCTCCCCGCCCTGTTCAGAAGCCTGCATACAGTAAGACGTTTATGGCTGAGGGGATAGACCCCAGAGGAAGGAGGGAGATGACCAGGCCTGGAAGGTTTGAATCCTTTGTGTCAATAGCATTGGCCCATGGTAGCTGCAAGTGTCCACCTCCGCAAGGGCACTGTGTGCAGTCAGTCCCCTCCCTTAGGATCTCGGCATGCCCCTGCCGGATGCAAAGCAGGAGGTGATCCCGTTTACAAGAACGCCCAAGTGGCATGTTGTCAGGAAGCCCAATTCACACAGGAAGATTTCTTCCCAGCTCCGAGAATGCAACTGTCCCAGTGCAGAATCCCTATCTCACCATCCTGCACAGTAATGACACAAAAGCAGGGCACAGGCAAGTTTTTTTTGACTTTTATTAAATCCTTACAAAACAGAATAGAAAATTCTGGCATTGACAGTTGGTGTAAAGGAACTTTCGAGCTCTATTAGTTCACCTGGTACAATGGAGTTAAAGTGCTTGGATGTCTTCGCCCCACTTAAAAAAATTTTTTTTTGTTGTGTGTCTTTTTAAACATCTTAACATCGTTAGCGATTAGCCCCTTCCCCAGCACCCTGAGCTGGCTTGAGGCGTCGCTCCAGGATAGTCTACTCATTCACAGTAAAGGTTCTGACCAGTCCTCCAGGTTGTAATGGAGGCAAAAGGGAGAGGAGAGAAAATGACAGCCCCACCCGGGGAGGGGGGGAATCAAAAGCTGCTTGTTATTCAGCCTTCCAGAGTAAGGTGGCATGGGCACCTGCAGTGGGCAAAGGTCCGTTTGTTCTTTTATACAAAAAAGGCAGGGAATTTCCCAGGTGCAAAACATGGAATCACTGAGGGTGGTGATAATGAGGGGACTGGCAGCTCCCCCCACCTCCAGGGGTCTTTGGAAAGGCCAGTTCACGGATACAGGTCAGTGGAGGCCAGGAGAAGACATGTAATCTCTCTCCCCCCTACTGGCCACCAGACTGTGACAATCCTACAAGACTGAGGGGGACAGTGGAGGTGGCTGGGCAGATGGTGCCCGAGCCCCCCCTCCACCCACGAGGCCCCTCTGACATTCAAGTATTCTTCAAGAACAGGGAAGCAACTCAGATGATATTAAAAAAAAAAAAAATCCTAAATGCGACGAACAATCTTGGCCACAGAGTTCGAGGCCAGGGTGCTTCGGTCCCTGCCCCAGAGACACCTGAGCAGACCCAGGGCGGGCTGGTGCCCCAGCTGCCGCCCCCTGACCAGCAGGGCCGCGTGCATGTAGAAAATGGGAATCATATTGCATAGTAGTTCACGGCCAGGTCCAGGCAGTGGTCTCCCCAGCCCAGGGGCTGGCTGACCAGGCCTGGGTGGAGCTGGGGAAAAGTAGGGGACCCTCTAGTAGATCGATCATCCCTGGGCGCCCCAAGGACAGACGAGGCAGCAGTGGCCCTTTTCCTGAAGGTTGGCACACCCAAATCACTGCCCTTAGGGGTGGGGAAATCTGGGGACTGCTGAGTCTGGCCCCAGTTTTGGGACAAGGGGACCAACAGAATTTCCAAATGCCAGACTCAGGGGCAACGTGGGGCAGAATGTGGCCATGGTCAGACTGAACCCTGAGAAGGGGCACTCTGGTGCCCTGGGGTGGGGGGGGACACTCTGGGACCCCACATTGGTGGATGGGCACCTGTCCAGTCTTCACCCATCTTGGTGGAACAGGGGACAAGGGCTTCGTGGTGAACCCTTGGTCCAGCTTCAGTCACTGCTGGAGGGAAAGTAGGTGGAAGGGGGCAGTGGGTGTGTCCTGTGTCAGTTGCAGTTTAAGGTCAAGTCAGAGTTCTAGTCCAATGGGCAGGGGCTTGCTCACTGTTCAGACAGGCCTGGGAGGAAGTGCCGATTGTCAAATTTTACCAGTACAGGGCAGATGGGCAAGCCCCGGCCCAGAGGCAGTGGGTGAGCCACCATCCACTCTGCCTGCCAGACCCTCCCTCCAGAGACAGGGATCCCTCGCCCTGCCTAAGCCACCAGGGCATTCTAGGGGTGAAGAAGGGACTACTGTCCTGTCACTGGGAGGGGAGCCTGTCCCTGAAAATATTGAGGGCTGGGAAGGGGTACATGGGGCTGGCAACCCTGTGGGTCCCTCCAGCACTGGAAGATGGCCAACTGAAGTGGGAGGGGGAAGTGTTAGGCAGGGTGCAGGTGGCTGGGCAGGGCACGGAGACCTTCACAGTACAGGTGAGCATTGCAGGGTGCAGTGGGCGCTTACCCAGCCATGCGCCCTCCACGAACCCTCCTGTATCCTCCCGGGCACTTGCTTTGCTTTTTAACACATTAAAAGGAAAAAAACAAAACATAAAAACAAAAAGGGGAATGGGAGGGGGAGGAAAAACCCCAACAGCAAAAACCTATAAAAAACCACCCCCAGCTGACTTTAGCTCCTGGGAATGCAGCCAGAGGGGAGGGCAGCCCATGGTCCAGCTGCCCATAGCTTAAAAACCTTTTAGACTTGACAGAGAAAGGGGTGACTTATGTACAGATGGGAACCATGAGGAGGTCACGCACGGTCCCCCACGAGGACCACCGGGGCAGTGGACAGGCTGGCTCTCTGCCGCCGCTGGGCCAGCTTAGACTCAGAGGGTGGAGACAGCTGCAGGCAGCGTGAGGTAGCACGGATGACAACGGGTTGGTCCTGCCCAGAAGCCTCCTCGGCAGCATCCTCCTCACGCTGGGCCAGCTGCCTGTTCATGGCAATGGCCTCGGCTGCGAAGGATGTGAGGTCTTTGGCACAGCTGTTCCTGGGGGATGGGTCAGGGATGGTCACTGAGGATACACCCTTTCCTGCTTCCCTCCAGGGACTACGGGGATCTGCATAGTGCCCTGGGTGGGGGCTACAGGACTCCTCCCCAGCACTCAGGCCTCTCCTCTGGGCATCAGGATCCCAGCTGGACTTCTATGGGTCATCTGGTACAAGGACATACAAGTACTTAGGTGTCTTTTCCCCATTGGTTTTTGTGGTCTTTTAAACTCCGAACAGGCTGGAGGTGTGGTTCAGTGGTGAACGCTTGCCTGGCATGTGTGAGGCCCTGGGTTCCACCCTCAGCACCACAGAAAAAAAATCCATACATTTAACCCCCACCCACTCCCTGAGCCCCAGGGGGTGCTCACCTTTGCAGGACCATAGGTGTGGGCAAGGTGTTCTCAGGGGCACACTGCAAGGAGACAGCAGAGCCAGGGACTAGAGAACATGCCAGCCTGCCCCAGGGTCCCCTGCTGTCTCTGGTGTCCCTAGGGCTGGCCAAAGTCATGCCAAAGGACATGTCAAGTTCACCCCCATTACCAGGCCTCCACTTGAGCCCAAGAACATAGTCGGATGCCCTATGCACCAGATCTTCACCTGTCCCTGTATGCATGCTGGGGAGAGTGGGGCTCTTGACAGTCTCCAGCCCAACCCACCCAGTCCCTCTCACCTCTTCCTTCTCAGATTCTCTGGTAAGGGGTCTGGAGTTGCCCCCTTGCCTGTGGACTCCAGGAACCACAGCTTCTATTATTAAGAACGCCTGCTGCCCTGGTGGCCTCCCTCCCCTGGGGTGGCAGCTTGGCTTCAATGACCTCTGGCTTGGAGTGGGAGTGGGCCCTGCACTGGGAGACTAGAGACTACTCTAATTGGGTCAGTCCCTGCCCCTGAGATTAGCTGCCCATCTGTTGCCTTGGCTGACCCCAGCTTGCTGCGCTCTGGATGGCTCCATGGCTGTCAGGCACCAGCACAGCTGGGCCAAGATTCTCTGAGCAGCTGGCCATTAGATGGGCAGTGGGGATTTCAGCTGCCCACCCCTTGGCATGCGGCTATGCCTTGGGATCTTAAGCCCGTAGTGGACTCCACTGACCCACACCCAAGGTCTTGCTTTGTCTTGGAGTCTCTACACAGGACCGGCTGGGGTTCTCATATGCTTGCTGTGAGACAACCATGGACATCAGAGAAAGCTATAGCTTAGGGGACGTGGGTGTCCCAACCCTCCTTAGCCCCCGGGACTCACCCCTTGCACCCAGGGGTGCTGCAGAACTTGGGCAGCACTCAGCCTCTGCTTAGCATCACGGACAAGCAGCTTGGAGATGAGGTCTTTGGCGGCGAAGGAGATGTGAGCCCAGTCCTTGTCCGGAAATTCATATTTGCCCTCCTGGATGCTCTCAAACAGCATATTCTGGGGGCAGGGTATAACGGCATCAGTACAGCCATGTCAGGGATATGTCTTCTACCACTGGGGACTGACACACAGCTCTGTCAGGGCCCTCAGACTCAGCTACATGGTCCTAACCTGTAACTCAGATTACCCAAACTGTAGGGTGTATGGAGGGCTGGAGAGGGTCCATGGTTTTGAGCCCAGTTGGGGGTGGAGTCGGGGGGGCAGAGGAAGATGAGGGACAGACATCCAGAGGTAGCTTTTAAGGCTCTGCCCATGTGTGGTTTGATTTACAAAGAGGCAGTTTGGGAGCGTGGCTCCCAGGGAGACCCAGAGTCATGAATACTAAAACTCATATTGTGAACACAAGGCCCAGCTGGTCACTCCAAACCACATGATTCCCTTCTTCTCAAAGCTTCCTGACCTGTATTTTCTCCCATGGTGTTCCTGGCAGACTCTTGCATGGGTGTGTGTGTGTGTGTTTTTAAGTGGGGGTGGAACATGAGACTGGGCTCCTGGAGGCGAAGGGACCACACATGGTGAGCCTGGGTATACACGTGGCTGGTTTGGTGCCCAGATGGGGGGTGAGGGGATCACCTGACAGGCAGGACAGGCCTCGCCACGGTCCCAGCCACAGTCGCTGCCACAGTGACCAACGAAAGGCGGGTAGCCGCTGAGCAGGATATAAAGGATGACACCCAGGCTCCACAGGTCACAGCGTTTGTCGTAGATGCTGGCCTCCTCGCTGAAGGCCTCCACCACCTCCGGAGCCATGTACTCGGCTGAGCCACACTGCAGGCCAGAAGGGTGCTGTCAGCCTGGGCCTCCTGCAGCTTGGAAATCCAGTGACAGCCTAACAAACAGCGGCCCCTCCCCGCCTCTCGCTCGGCAAATTAGAAGCCAGTGCTAGAGCCCACCTCGCCCAGTCAGCAGGTGCCCGGAACCTACCTTGCCACACCCTGACTAGCCACAGCTCTGCCTAATCCTAGGCCTCGCCAATCAGCAAGTATTTGGAATCTACCCGCCCCAAACCAGGCAATCCGGCTTTTGCTTCAGCCGAACCTTCCTTCCACCCCAAGCTTCTGTATCTGCCCAATCAGCAACTGCTGCCGGGAGCTCGCCCCGCCCAGCAGATGATGTGACCCGCCCTCCCTCCCAACCAATCAGAGGCTGTTGCTAAGCGGAAACTGGAGCTTGCAGGTTGAAACTGCAGAGGGCCACAGATGCCGGCTTCCCCTACAGCTTTCCCCTACACCTCTTTGTAGTGCCGCTGGCCCTGTGGGCCCTCACCGGGGTGAGCAGCTCTGGGGTGGAGATGGGGGAGCAGTCTCCATTGAGTTTGATGCCACTGCCCAGGTCGAAGTCGCAGATCTTAACAGGGGACACCTGAGGGGGAGGGGCGGTCAACAGGGGATTGTGGGAGGAGTCTGGCCCTACCCAGCAAGGAAGGGCACTCCCAGGGCCGTCCACCCAGAGCCCGGTTAGGGTTAGCCTGCCTCACCTGGTTGGGGTGCTCACAGAGGATGTTCTCTGGCTTTAGATCCCTGTGGGCAATGCCTGGGGGAAGCAGAACAGGGGTTAGAAATAGAGGCATCTCTAGAAATTCAGGCAGGTGGGCTGTACCTAGTCTGGGACCCATAGGAACTCGGGAACCCTGTGGGCTGCACACCCTGGCCAGCCCCATAACCCACCTTTGTTGTGTAGGAAGTCCAAGGCACTGGCCACGTCCTGCACCACAACACTGGCCTCAAGCTCATTAAAGTGCCGCCGCTTATGGATATGGCTCAGGATGGAGCCTGGGATGAGATGCGGTGAGGAACAACATGAGTCACCTTCAAGGACCTAGGCCAACGCACAGCACCCACCTCCACCTTGGCAGGATGCTCCCTACTAAGTTTCTTGGGTCACCATAGATAGGAAGTTCTGATCTCACAAAAGAGGGTCCTTCTGTGTCTAGCACCTTCTGAAAGGTCCTTCCTGGTGGTCCTGAACCTCCATCCCATAAGGACCCAGGTGGAAATGTCTCCTGCATTCCTACCCCCAACCAGGAACCCCTGCTTACCACCACGCATCTTCTCAAACACCAGGTAAAAGCGGTCCTCCTCCTCAAAGAACTCGATCAGCTCTAGAACATTCCTGGAATGAGGATACGGGCAGGAGAGAAAATGAGGCTTCCTGAGGCTCCTATGCATCCACTGCCCAGCCTAGGAGGGGCTGCCCTTCCCATGCCACCTGCCTACAGGAAGGCTGGGACTGGAACCACAGGCCTTTCCTGGCTGACCTGAAACTGCCAGTTGCCTGCCAAAGGGCCCACCCACAGCACCCAGCTGAGCCTGGCCAGTACCCTCCTGGGGTGATGTGGCACTCAGGCCCATTCATCCATGGAAAAATGGCTTGGGGCCCAGCACTGTGGTGAGGGTGGGTCACCTTACCTGTGTCCCTGGCACTGGTACAGCATCTCCACCTCCCGGAAAACCCTACTGCGGATGTGGCCTGGCTGCTTCTCAATGATCTGAAAGGGGCAGGGAGACACACACTGCTTGGGTTAGCAGTACTGGCCCACAGCCCAAAAGGGGCAGGCAAGCCCCCCAGAAATCTGCCCTGAACCTGCCTGTAATTCTACTCTGAAAAGCTTAGACCATTCAGTTCTAAAACAGATATAGAAAGTAGAGCCCAGAATTTGCTCGAAGTCAGAACTGCAGTGTCAGCACAGGCGGGGGCAACATGTGTCTCCAGTGAGTAGCACCAGCAAGGGAAGGGAAAGGCAGAGACAACAAGCCAGTTGGGGTAGCTCCCACCCATACAATCTCAGAGGTGTATCGGGGGCTGGAGCTTCTGCAGAATATTCCTGCAGGGGCCCAGGGGGCTGGGACTGGGTGGCCACTATCCACTATCCTCCATGCACAAGCAGACCAGTCAGTTCTCTGCTCCCAGATGGCTGGTTCCCAGATGCCCCACGGAACTAGGAAGAAGCTCCTGTCACCTGACTGCCAGCCCAGGCAGTCTCCAACACCAAGTCCTGCCTCCCTGGCTCCATGCCAGACTAGGTAGATGGCCCTGCCCGCCCCTGAGCGTGGGTCCAGTCCTGTCAGCTGCCAGCCTCCCGGGCTCCCAGAACCTCAGGAAGCCAGCTGCCTCTGTAGTCACAGCCTTCTGCACCCAGTAGCTCTAAGAACTGGAGGATTCGGTATCCCAAATTTCTCCAGCCACTTTTGCTCTCAGAGGGGTGGGGAGAGAGGCCTCTAGCTCTCCTTGGGACCCTCTTGGATGCTTTTCCCAGGTTGGACACCCAGTTCCTCTCACCGTAATGTGTTAGAGGGTGTGGTAGGGGGGTATGGTAGGTTCCACTACCTATGTATTGTTCCATGTGGCTAATGAAAAACATAGCTGTCCCACCAAGGCACCCTGTGAGACATTCCCATCACCAAGCCACTGCTGAAAGCCCAATCTGGAGGTGCTTCCAGCAGTTCTGGATGAAACCCAACCTCATCCTGTCCCTGAGGAAGCTCGCTAGGACCCTGTTCCACTGACAGCTCAGTCTCTCCTGGCAGGGCAGTGGCCTACTGAGGTCACTGCTGGAATTCTGCACCCAGAGGCAGCCTCCCCCAGCCACAAGCACCTGGAGCCCCAGAAGCCAGAAGCCCCACATGCGGGATGGGACAACATTCTCAACCCCGTAGTAGTACGGCCACCCAACCCAGGTCTCCACTACTTCCTGTCTCCTATGCCCAGGCCACTTTCTCCCACTGTTACCAGACTTTAGTGGTCACTGGGACACCTGTACCATGAAGCCACCTGAGCTCCCCATATCCTAGCACTGACCACAATGGGTTATGAAAGGTGATAGGGAGGAGTCACCAAGAGGTCACATAGTATGACTCAGGCCACCTACCACCTCTGAGTCTCAGTTTCCCTATCTGTCAAACAAGGATAGGAAGCAATGCTGCCCTCAGGGTCACTAGAATGAAAGTAATCAGATGGATGCCTGCCTGGCATATCTAATTTTCCCGCACCCTGGTCCTGCCAAGCCTGTGAGCAAACGGGACAAGGGCCACTGGTTCGGCCCCAGGCTCCCTTAACTTCTGCAAAACGACTCTACCTTGCCTCTTAACCTCAGACACAGAAGCCACTGGCCAGGCCTGGCCATTCACCAGAGGCTGCAGGCTCTCAGCCAGTACCACTCGCCAAAGGGCATCTACTCTCCTGCCTGGGCAGCCACCACACTGGTGACCCCGCCTAGGTTGGAGCTGGCTATAGGGTCACGAGGGAAGCCTGGAAGTTTTCTTGGAACATGGGGCTAACCAGCTGGCCCTGTAAGCACAGGGCCATGTCAGGACCTTGTTTGGGCTCCAGTTCCCAGATCACTTGCACAAATCCAGAGATCAGAGGCCACACGGATGGGGGAGGGGGACACACAGGACATTTTCACGGGCCTGCACTAGGTTTCCCCAAATTCAGAGCCTCCTCTGAGGCCCAGGTATGACACAACTACTTTTCATTTTGCTTTGTTTTCTGAGACAGGGTCTGGCTACATAGCTCAAGCTGGCCTTCAACTCACCATGTAGCCCCAGGCTGGCCTTGAACTCACAGTCTTCCTGCCTCTGCCTCCCAAGTACTGGGATTACAAGTGTGTGCCACCATGCCTGGCAACACTGCCTTTTAGTCCCTGTAACCAATCTTCCAAACAACTGTCATCCTTAGAGGACACGCAAAGGTAGGGCTAGCCTAAAGGACACGACAGGTCAGCACGACCTCTAATCAAAGCCCCAGCTCTCAACAGCCATACTGGCTACCAGGTCCTTGGTCACTGGGGTGTGGGGTAGGTAGGGGCCAGCCCTCATTGTCACTTCCCACTGGAACTTGGTGCTCAGCAGGAGTGGTTTGAGTCACCAGGCCTGGGACCATTTTTAGACTGAAGCCATTTTCCTTGTGTGTTGTCTGGGAACGTGAGTAATACCCAACCCCAGCCGGCTGGTGATGGGCTGCCAGTGGCAGGGCAGCTCACCTTGACAGCATACTCGTGGTTGGTGATAAGGTTGACACAGGTCTGCACGCGGGCATGGGCCCCTTCCCCGAGCACATCCTCCTGCAGCTGGTAGACATCTGGGGAGCCATGGGGGTGGGGGTGAGGGACTATGGCCCAGCGCCATCTTCCCAACACCCTAGCCTGCTGTCCTACTCACCTTCGAACCTGCCTGAAAAGCTGTCAGTGGCACGACACCGCTTCTTCTTCCGGCCTCTCTTCTTGGCATCTGGGATGTCAATGGGTTGGCTTGCAGGCATGTCTGCACGAAGGGCCACAGGTTCAGGAGGGTTGCTGCCTGGCTTAGCCCACATCTCCACAGGGCCATACACTTACCCACTGGCACAAGGACCCTAGATGCCACACCCCCTACCCCTTGGGCCCTCACCAGGGCGGGCCTCGCACTGCAGGCTGAAGTCAGCGTCCCTGTGGTGGGCTGGGTCTAGGGAGAAGGCCAGTTCGAAAGGATTCTGCCCCTGCAGGATGGAAGAGAAGAAACTGTGAGGCCCAACCTTCCCAGGGTGGCCACCAGCACACAGAATGATTAGCCCATCCCCACAGTGCCAAGGCTGAGAGCCCCTGTGGTGCCAGGATGGAAAAAAAAATCAAATCCAATCCCTCAATCCCTGCCCACAACAGACACAAGATACACTTGCCAATGGGGCAGATGCTGTGAGCCAGGGGAAACCAGCTGTTAGGGTTGACCTCTCTCTCCCTCAACTCCATGTGTGACTCTCACTCTTATATATATATATATATATTTTTGGCAGCACTGAGGTTTGAACTCAGGACCACAGGCTTGCTAGGGAGGCACTCTTATCGCTTATGGTACTCCACCACCCAGTGTGTGACATTCAAAGTGGGCAGCATCCTAAGACCTCAACAGGGCAGGAAACTGAGGACAAAGAGTCTCCTGGGGCCCATGGGATCCCTTGACCATGTGAATCAATGTCTGGAGGCATCTGTTTGTTACATGTTCCATGTTCCTGACATGTAGAGGCCAGGGATGCTGTTCCATACTCTGTAGTGCCCATGGCAGCCCCCAACAGAGAAAGATCCAGCCGCAATGTCCACATACAGAGAGAAGACCTTATCTCTGTATGAGAAACTTGGCTTTCTATTCCCAGTCCAGGACTGAGTCTTGATGGGACCACATCTTGGGCCTCAAGTATGCTCATGTGAAGAATGGGGACAACCTCCCCAGTCAGCTGACCTCAGGGTGGGGCTGTGGGATGCCTGAAGCCTCCAGTGGGGCAGCCCAGCTGCTTTCCCATGGCCTCCTGAGGCCATCTCAGGGTGACTGAGCCCTACTTGGATGATCCTGGAAATGGCCCTTGGCCTTTCAGGAACTCAGTTTCCCTCTGAAATGGGGCACTGCCCTCTCATCTTGTTAACACTGCTCGCTCTCCTTTCCCCCTTGCCTGGGGCATCTGTGAATCCCAATAGTTAGTGTTCTGGGAAGCTGTGGAGGTGGTGGGCATCTCTGCTGCCCTCCACAGATTCTGCACTGCCCTTTGGGCACCTAGAACACCCTTATCACTAATCTGTAGTTGGCCAAGCCCTATTCATCTCTGAGGACTATCAGCTCCACAGCAGTTGTAAATTCAACATACATGGCCCTATACCTGTTGGTGACCAAGGTCTAGCTGTGTCACTCCTGGCTCTGAGAGGTTCACAGTGAGGTACCATGTGCATGAGTGTGCTAGGCTCTTCCCACCCCATAGCTCACCCTGTCCCAGGTCACCAACTGCCCTGGAATGCCCCTCCAGGCCCTGGTACCCAGCTAAGAGGACCACCCCTCCTAGGGAGGGGTGTGGTATCCAAGGTTCAAACTCAGGCCTGGAGCTTGGGCAAGGAGACCAACAAAGGTGGTTGAACAGGTTTGAGACCCTGAGTAGGCGAAGCTGGGAGCTTTTCCCAGCCCTAGAACCAGAAGAATGCTGGAAAAAAATATGTTTCCACACAGGATAGATGATGCAATGGTGGGCTGAGGCCCCTCTGCCTGAAGGGGTGGACCTTGCAAGCTACAGGCTACGATAAACAAGGCTGGGCAAATTCCTGGGTGAAAGGAGCTCACATTATAGCCTCCCTGCCTGTAAGCACCCGACAATGGGGTATGGATGAGGGTGAGAAATGCCAGTGGGTGATGCCACGGGACGTAGTCCAAGTTACTGCTACTCTCTGGGCCTCAGATCGTCAGGCAGGACTGACAGGAGGGTCACCTAGGAGAGAAGCCCCTCTCGGAGACCCTAGGTATTCTGAGGAGTCCCAACAGAAGAAGTGGCCAAAAAGAGATGACTGTAGACCAGAAACACAGATGGGAGGCCAATGTAGGTAATGAAAGGAAGGCAGGGTCCTTCCTGCTCCCCAAAATCCTGCCTTCTGGCAGATAGTTGCTACGGAGGAGGGCAAGCAGGGGATTCCAGCCAGCCTATGGGAAAAGCAGCACACATACCCGCATAAGGCTCCTATCCAAGAGGTGCCTGGGGCCCCAAGGGCAGCCATCACAATAAGGGGGTGACTAGGTGGACATGAGGCTTGAAGTCAAAGACCAGCTGTGGCACCTGCTATATAAAGCGATCATCAGCCTAGCTGAGGTGATGGCTAGACAAACTGACATGGTGAGACAATGCAGCAGCTCTCTCAACTCTGGGAACCTCTCAAGGGTGAAAGGGGACAATGTTTGAGCCTCTGTCCTACATGCTTGCCTACCAGCCTTTGATTCAGAAATGGCTTGAGACAGATAGGGCAATCAAAGTCACTGAGGTGAAGAACAAACCTTCAAGGAGCCAGGGCACTAGACATGGTCACCTCACACATGTAGGGGGATCAAGGTGCTAGTATGGATCCTCCATTTTGAATCTTAAAACAAAGAAATGGGGCCAGGGGTGGCTCAATATGGCTTGAGGCCTGGGATTCCATCCCCAAAACACAAAGCCAAACAAAAAACAAAAAACAAGGGAAAAGAACCACAGGAGACCTGGCAGGTGTGCCTCCCTCCCATTGCTGGCAGACTGGAGAGGTGGCCCAACCCAAGGGAGCAGCCATGCAGGGTGGAGTTCTGGGAGAAGAGTCAGTG